GAGGTTTCTGTCGACGAGAATTATGTCGGTATAAATAATTATCCGGTTTCGCAGATGAAAAGGAGAGTTGAAGTCTTTTCGGAAACCGGTTTTGATGATCAATGAGATCCCGGTAGTGACATACCATTGTCCAAGAATCGGATGCAATCGGAGTTTCAACAAGCGATACTCCTAACAAGAGCAAACTCGTATCGTAAAATATTGTAATAAAAGCATGGGAGGTAGAGATCGTTCAGACCAAAATATTAGCGTCTACCACAGTGCTATGCGAAGTAAGAAATAGTGTTTTCCCCTAATAACTAACTGTGTGGAAATGGCGGTACGAAATGCCTGGCAGACTCATAAACACAANTAAAATAAAAAAAGGAAGATTTACGCGTAGTTCCAACAAAGAATTGGGCCCAGATGTGGCACTTGTCATCAGAAAACCGCAATAAGATTCCAAAAATTTAACATTGGATTACATGTCAAATGCATTGTCACAGATCACATCAAATAAGTCAAACAAAGTAGATAATATGTCATGTGCCCAATGTCCTATATATAGGACCGCTTTAAAGTATATGTTTCCATTTTTTTTTTAAATCATTACCACACCCTGTCTTTTTATCATAAGTTTAGATGAATATAAACGCAAAACCCGTTGCAAAGGTAATGTACAACGAATGGACATATCTAAAACTTCAATTGAAAGTCGGCACGGGTTATTGTTGTCCTACGGTCATAAAACTACATATATATGCAATTTAGGCTACACATTTTTCCATATACTCATGGGACAGTCTAACACATACTACATATTTACATATAAAAACCGCATTTCCGAAAAACTGTCAACTAGGTTCCTTTGTATTGATGGTATGTGATTTCAAGCTACACTACCAAAAACCTTATTGCACAGGTACACACAGGTACACTTTTGCTGAAAATAAACTTGCTATTGATTCTCAAATTGCTACATACAAAAAAAATGCTTCTTAAAATATTTATTTACTTTCCAAAGAAAATTTAAATTTCTACAAAAGTTTTATTCAAACGCCTTTCCGCATGGTACAATATTACAGGTAAATATTGGCTGCGTTCAGAGTTGGGCAAAATTTATTCGAATGACGAATAACAAATGAATAAATTGTTTTTCTTGTTATTCGTAAATAATAAATAAATAAGATTCAAGGAAACCAGCTCTTGGATATTTTAAAAGTGGCGAATCAGCAAGGAAAGTTTCGACCACATCCTTCCAATTCCTATATCAATGGCCACATTTTACATCGAGGACGCACATCTGTGCTCTTCAGCATCCTTATAAGGACTTTTGTTGGCCTACATGACATAAGACTAGAGGTTGACGCATCGGACCAATGTTGTAGTTGCAAGATCATAGAAGAAGATTACGCACGCTTAGAAAAGATCTCACAAGTGGAGGTAAAGCTCATGACATTGAAAGGAATTTTTTCTTGCATATAGCATCAGAGCGCTATTTTTTTGGCAGAAATATGTGTGAGAATTTTTACTTTACCCATATTTGGTTTTCAACGCTATTCTTGCATTGGCCAACGCAAAAAATCTTATCAGGGGCCGCGAAACCATAGGGAATGGGCTAGTATTCTTGATAAAATAGTAACCAAAATTCAGCTAACTTACAATCCTTGACAATAGAAATAAAAGTAAAAGGTGGCTCAATGTGTTAAAAATTAGTTTTTATTCATTATTTAAAATAACGAATAAAATAACGAATAAATTATTCGCAAGCAATTTATTCACGAATAATTTATTCGGGAATGAGTTATCGGCGAATAATTATATTACGGATAAAATTTTATTCGAATAATTATCTAAATAACAATTTATTCGAATAATGCCCAACTCTGGCTGCATTACTTTATTCATTCTGAAAGTTTGAAATAAATTCTTTTGTTTATTTATTCTTTAGAATGTTCCTGATGATATGTTCACGTATATTTCAAACGCATTCTGTTTATTCCGGTTGTGAAATGAGGTTATCCGTTAACGTTTGACATGAAGTGAGCCATACAACTTTTGAATTTATTTACAAGCAAATATTTTTTTCCGCCATTTGCAAATTAAATAAGTTCTCTGCAAGAAGGTTTCTTTAAAAAAATACGTATACATATATAGTACATGGGGTATGGAAATATCCCTTTTCCCTAGCAGTAAACCTTTTAGTGGGGGCAACAATAATATTTTTATAATAAATAAGATCCGAATATGCGCTCCCTGGGAAGACAATACCTGTAATTATTGTACCATGCTTTTCCGAAATTTTTTTTATCTCACATTTTTTTTACCACGAAAAGGAAACAAATAAACGAATGTGGTATTTTTCGCTTTACTTTCACAAAAAAACAGAAAAGTACAAGTGCACTTCCTTAAAAAATTAAAAACAAAAACTTTCACTCATNGCAGATCCGAATATGCGCTCCCTGGGAAGACAATACCTGTAATTATTGTACCATGCGTTTCCGAAATTTTTTTATCTCACATTTTATTTTACCACGAAAAGGAAACAAATAAACGAATGTGGTATTTTTCGCTTTACTTTCACAAAAAAACAGAAAAGTACAAGTGCACTTCCTTAAAAAATTAAAAACGAAAACTTTCACTCATATTAAAAAAAAAAAAAAACATAAACACTTGTAACGTAAAATTTATTAGGTTTAATAAAAAAGTTGCAAAACAAAAAGTTGAAATATTTACCAATAACTTATTTCAAGAATTATAAATAAATATCTTTCAATCAATATTTTTGACTATTTCTTCAAAAATTAAATTAGTTTCCAAGAAATGAAGAAAATATTTCATTCATATATTTTTTTAAGAAATATCTTAAGTTTGATTAAAAAAATTTCGTAAAACATTTTGTACTTTTTTTTATAAGAAATTTAGGGGTCATATAGGAGATATGCCATGCTTTTGAGGCTTAGTACAAAAAAATGTCCTAATAAATTCTGCCATCAAGCAAATATTTATGAATTTAGCAATTATTTTGTAACATTTGTAAAATAAGAATTGTGTGCGTTTTTAATACAACAAATCGTTCAAGAAAAAAAATTCAAACCCGGTAAGAAACTCAGTATCACTATGCAGGTACCTGTTACTAATACACATCGCCCACGAAAAGATAAAAAAAAAAAATCCACTTATGTACACTCCTCGTCATTTGAACAGCGGGCCTTTTTAAGCCCTAGTATTTAGAGTTGTCCTTTGTTTATTTAATATTCATATTTTTTTTTTTTTAATATAGCATATTCTATGTGTAAATGCGATTTTAAAATTTTATACAAATTAAAAAAAATCCACAATGGGGTGCGCCAACCTAATGACCTACATTGTATAAGTTAATAATATTTTTCGAAAAAATTTTTCCAGCATAGACACTTTGTATGGAGGAAAATGCGCAGCACCGCCAACAAAAAAAAAAACAAAAACTAGCGCTATTTTACACCCACTTGAAACTTGCACTTTATTATACTAAAATTGAATATAGTGAATATTAAATAAACAAAAGGAAAACTGTAAAAACTAAAGACTTGAAGGGTGCACTATTCAAATGACGAGCAGTGTATCAGAATCGGAATGAAGTCCCAACATTTTCATAAACCACTTTTACCTTATTGAAAATCTGCAATATTTAATATTCTACGAACATATCAGGTTCGGTAAAACGATCGTTGAAATTCTACGAACATATCAGGTTCGGTAAAACGATCGTTGAAATAGTTTTCGAAAAATAGTCCCCAATAGTTGCTCATAAGATATTTTCCAAACACATTTATTTAAAAAATTTTGAAGTAATTGATTCTAAAAGTTCTGAATTAACCGAGTAACCTCATGCCGAAAGAAATGTACTTTTTTCAAATATATTTTTATAATTTCATTTTTATAAAAAAGTCCCGATATAGGTACATATGTATGTAAATTACCAACTTTTTTTAGGGGATTATTTGTTCATGCATATTTTTCGCAAATAAAGTTTTTGATTCATGAAACGCTAGGTATTATGTACACATGTATGTTGCCACATTTTTCGAATATGTATATACAATATATTCCTTACCTTGAAAAACAATTTTTATTAGTTTTGATTTCTGTTGAAGTTGACACAGCTTCGATGCAAAAATTTCTATTCCACTTTAAATCGTTGGAGCTACGTGGGGTAATAAAAAGAGATAATAGAAAACAAGTGATTGAAAAAGCACAACAATGTTTTCGAAGTGAAGCAGGCACTAAATAACAACAACAACACGAACGAACGAAAATGTTACAAATTGTTTCAGTCAATAGCAAAGTGGAAAAGAAGTAAAATTTGTGTTAAATATATGTATTGCTAAACGCACACACCCATACACACGCACGTACACATGCGAATAAACTAGTACGCGCGGGCGCGCGCGCGGACGCTAAAAAACGCAGAATCGAAAGCGAAAATGGTGAGAAAATTGCCAACTGCAACGGACGCGAAAATTGAATTGCAACGCACGAAAAATCGCGTACCTATGTAAACGAATACATACATTGCAAATATGTACACGGTTGCATATGTATGTATGTACATATATGCGTGTACAATTTTTCAAATATGCAGGAAAACAATTTGAGAAATTTGCAAAATATGCCTGGAATAAAAACTACAATAAATAATGAAAATTTCAAAATGCGTAGAAAAGCACTCAAACGCATGCGCGGCGTTACGCGTTGCACACAAGCATTTTTTTTTTTTTAATTTCAAGTAAATTTTTGCTGTTACGTAACGCGAATCGAATTAAAACGTTTTAATTTTTTCTTCTTTCATTTTTCACTATTTTTAGATTTTTCGATTTTTTGCTAAGTAATAACCAGGAATTTTTCAGAACCTTACTGCAGCGCAGCTAAAAACAGACTCAACTTTGCTTATGTCAGCAACGACCACAACACCTGCAGCGGTGGCTTTGGTCGATTCGGCCAGCAACACCTGAACGAGTAAAGTAGCTGCAACAGCAATAGCAGCGATGCGCGTACGGCTGACTGCGAACGCTGACGCAGCCGCCGAGCTTGACTGCGCCGTGCTAAAGTCAACAACAACAGCGGCGTCGCCGCGGCAATGCGCAAACACTTCATATATGTATGTACGTGCATATGTACGTCTGTGCGGATGAGCAACTTCGTTCCAGCGGTTTAGGATTGCACGAACGAAGATCGACGCTAGCCTCGGCTGTTACTGTTACCGCTGCTGCTGACATCTATCATTGGCCGACAGCTCAGCCACAGTATTGTCCTCTGCCGCTGCTGCTGCGCAACAGCTGCTAAATATTAAATGCGCACTGCTAATTAACAGCCGCTGGCAAAGTCGCACGATTCTACCAGTTTTTTCTCTTTGTTTGCTGTTGCTTTTCATGTCCGATGACAGTTGTATTGTTTTGTTTACAAACTTTTACAATTTAAGGTTATTGTTGCCGTTGCGGTTACTTGTTGTTGTGTTGTTGTTGTTGTTCTTATTATTCGTGTTATTGCATTGTAATTTCTGTTTAGTGTTGTAGTCGCATCATCTCACGTCCCACAGATATTATCTGTAAACGTTTAAAAATTCTCAAAATCTCTAAGCTGGCTTTGCTTTACAGATTTAAGTAATTGAACGCTTTTGGGGTTAAACACGTTCATGTGCGGGCATTGCGACATTAGTACTTAATTTTAGATTTTCATAAAAAAACATGCTTTCGTAGAGACTGCCGGGAGGCAATAACCCGAATCTTTGATGGCTAATTTTATTTTATGAGCACTTGATTTGAACTTGTGTAGTGTGAGGACTAAAAATAAGCTTCTGAAAAAACTTTGGAAACCTTTCAAAGGCGATCTATTTGAACCCTCGGTATTTTAGATCGGTTTAGGGAGCTCAAGAAGACAGCCTGAGACAGATGCCTGAGAGCTGAGAGCTGAGGGTTAGCTACGAAGTGCCAACCAAAGTTTTTTCATCTTAGCTTCTCGAAGGCTGAACAGGATAGAAAGTGTTCCACGGCATCTTCCACTTGACAGATGATAGTGGATCAATTGAGATCCCTAGTCTTATAATGTCTTTCAAAACCCTTCATACTAGCCAGAGCTAAGGCTTTGTCTGCGTAAGAAGCTTCTTTTACAAAATAGGAGCATCTTAAGTCAAGCGGAGTAGGGAGTAGATTTCAAATTAAAAAAAAAAATCGGAGTAATCGGAGCAAAGTCCGGACGCTGACCACGCCTCAGAAACCTTAGATGCACTTAAATTTGCTAATACTTTCACAAAAATCGCCGGTTTTTAACATTTTCCCTATTAATTCTTTTTATAAATCATATATTTTGCAATTTAACACAATAAAACCGCGTTTTCTGGCGAAAAATTGATTACCGAGAAAATTTACTATTCTATAGTTTATTTCATCCTCCCATTCGGACTTGTTTACTTTTACTTGAGAAATTTCAGCGTCGCCGGGAATACGGAATCTTGTATTATATTATTCTTTGATACCATATAAGTGTTTAGTGTTGGACAATTTTTGCTCTTAAAATTAAGGCAGATTAAGTGGCAGATCTACCACAATGTGGTAGAAGTCCGATCACTGCCTCCAATATGACTCCTAACTCGGACTCGTATTGGCGAGCCCTTCTGAGAAGGAAAACATGCTATTTCCTGACTCCGTTTCGAACTCATAATAAGGGTTACTACTCAGAATACTCAGACTTTTTTTGATTCAGGGTATTTATTTTTATGATGTTTAGTAAATTAAATAATACTATCACTTTTCCCCTAAAATAGAATGAAGAACACTTATGTTCTTTTTCCTCGTTTATTTCCTTTTTGACATTCTTTTTCTTAAATTTAATGAGATTTTTGGTTGCTGACGGCTGATAATGAGACATTCTCCAAAAACTAAAAGTGCAGACAGTCAAGTCTACTTTTCAATGCTGGTTCTTGTGTTCTTTTTTCCGTCCGCAATTCACTTTTACTGACATGGGTACACACATCCATACATACTTACATAGTCTTTTGTTTATGCTAACTTATGCATATACATACATAGTTTGCAATATCAATGGTTGATCTACCTTTTCATGTTGTTGTATCAGCAGATCACGTTGGCCAAATGTTTCGACTCCGGTGCTGAATAAGCGTTTAATCGAATAACCAAAGGTGATTTGGACTATCTTGCCAGGCAACTGTACATGATGATGCAGTTTGGACCCACTTACACTGAGGAGGGTCCTCTTCCTTTCGTTTATGGGAACAACGATCTTCTGATATTTTACTTTTTCAGCAAACGATCAAGTCTAACTGCTTGTTTCGGCTCTGCGAACTGCGCCTATTCACATCATTTTACCTTCACGAAGTCCTAATTCAATACCTCATTGTCCCTGGTGGCCTTTAGGAAGGTGTGCTCTCATCAAGTCCTTGGACAAACTGAGGGCTTTCAAGCTGGCCGCTTGTATGTTAGCCGTAAGCTCATCAGATACCTGAGTCGATGGGTCATGAGGTTAGTCCGCGTATTTGGACTTCCTGGTTCATTACATAAGCCAGTAATTATACGATGTACAATATGGAGCCTTCCTGTCTGCAACCTACGTTTGGTATCGATCAGTTCGTAGTGGTCCTTCCAAATTCTGACGAAGCTGAACCTCATTTTACACAGCTGTTTCTATATTCCATCTAAAGCAATTTTAAAGTCGACAAGAGACGGTAAGATGCCTCCGTCTTCCAGCCGTTGAACGCCTGTTCTAAGATGGATTTACAAGGTCTAAATACACGCTAATAAGGCCCGATGAGTTCGTTGACGGAGTGCCTTATCCTCTCACTCAACTCGCATATGGCTGGGTTTCCTTTATTGTGGATTCGGCGTAAAACACTTAAATTTCTGCCGTCAGGCAAAATAATGCAGAACAAATGCACAATTTCAACTCCAGGAGTTTTTTTAAACAGTCATATATAGTATGCAGCTTCTTGTGCGACACCGTGACATGAGTTCCTTAACAACGCTGCTATGTTAGAACTCGCAAACATGAATCTTGCCTTGCCCGTACATCCANAATACACGCTAATAAGGCCCGATGAGTTCGTTGACGGAGTGCCTTATCCTTTCACTCAACTCGCATATGGCTGGGTTTCCTTTATTGTGAATTCGGCGTAAAACACTTAAATTTCTGCCGTCAGGCAAAATAATGCAGAACAAATGCATATTTTCAACTCCAGCCGCTTTATGGATCTTCTTGTGCGACACCGCGACATGAGTTCCTTAACAAGGCTGCTATGTTAGAACTCGCAAACATGAATCTTGCCTTGCCCGTACATCCCATTTTTTGGATGGCGGTGAGAACTTCCCGAAGACAGAAACCAGACGAGCAGAGGCAACTTCCCCGCTTAAAGTTCGGACATTATTTTAAACGTTTGCCTGGTCATCATTCTCATTATTCCGCGATTTTTTTCAAATGAATGTTTATATCGCCAAAAACGTATAAAAACTTTTAATATTAAATAAGATTATAAACTTACTTAATACTTGGAAGTTGTATTTACATATGCACATACATACATACATACANCAGACGAGCAGAGGCAACTTCCCCGCTTAAAGTTCGGACATTATTTTAAACGTTTGCCTGGTCATCATTCTCATTATTCCGCGATTTTTTTCAAATGAATGTTTATATCGCCAAAAACGTATAAAAACTTTATAAGATTATAAACTTACTTAATACTTGGAAGTTGTATTTACATATGCACATACATACATACGTATATAATATGTAAATACGTATGATGATCCACAAGTGATGTGTCAATCACATACATACAAAGTGTATTTTATGTAATTAAGTAAGTTTGCCTCCCGCGGCGCTTAAGCATTGCTTCTCAACATTCAGCAAAGCGAAAATTAATTGGCTCGTTTTGTGACTGCAAACAAAACTCAATGAGAATTTTAATTCCGCCAGCGATTTGGTAACAGCAAAGAATTGTTGCCGCACACAGTGGTGCAAACGAGAAATTTACTATTCAAACGGGTCTACAGACTAAATACAATTCTTTACGAATTTTCAATTATTTTTTTAACGAAAAATAATTAAATTTTTAAGAGGTTTAACGGAGCTGTATTTTTTTCATTTGTATTTGTTTATATAATTTTTTTTTTGTGCAAAGTGCAGAGAAAGTAGACATTTTGAAGAGAATTAATTTTCCCTTTCCTGTTAATAAATGTAACATAATGAAAACTAGTCGAAATCCATTAAAAGGTTCCCTTAAAACGAAGAAAATCGCACATGTTAAATTCTAAATCTTATAAAAAAAAATCAATATTTTTTTTCTTAGAAAAATTTTAGGTATGCAGTTTTATAGCCTACATATTAAATCTTAACTTGTCAAAAATAGCACTGATTTTTTATAATTTTTTTGCTAACATTTCGAGCACAAATGCAATAACGATAGTAAAGAGCGTGTCAGACGTGGCAAAATTTCAAGTTTTCCACGCGATTCGCTATCAAATTGAGAAGGAGAAATTTTATTTCGATGTGTGAACAGAAAGAAAGTCTTTTCTGTCACATTTCGGAAATCAGTTTCAGAAATAAAAGTTGCAAGATGTGACTGTAATTGAAAGAGTGCAAATCGATTTCGGAAATATATATTCAACTTGCCCGTGCTGCACTCGCAATCTGCGACTCGTCTTTCGGAAATAAAAAACCTCTTTCGNCATTTCGGAAATCAGTTTCAGAAATAAAAGTTGCAAGATGTGACTGTAATTGAAAGAGTGCAAATCGATTTCGGAAATATATATTCAACTTGCCCGTGCTGCACTCGCAATCTGCGACTCGTCTTTCGGAAATAAAAAACCTCTTTCGAAAGACACTTTACTTGCAAAGTGTGACTGATCATGCAACTGCTTTCTGAAATTTCTCAATTTGGCAGCCTTTTCGAAA